TCTTGAACCAAAACGAACAACTTTATTCCATTCAAATTTCAATAAGTATCCAAGGGATGAATTGCGTATTTGTCGTATATGTTTTTCCACCAATCAACGCTATATTTCCTGAGATCTGACGACATCTTTAGAGAATGTCCAATATCCATAAACTCTCCCTGATCGTAAGTTGTCCAAATCACCCTGTCAAAAAGATCATCCTCTTCCGGAGTAGGGTTCCTAAAAAAAAATTATGGATACATTATTTGTAAACAGCGTGTCTAACTTTAAACAGCCTGCCTTTATATCACAGATATCAACCATCAACTTATGCGCCCAAAGGTGCCTGAGCAAAGGTCTGAGCTGAGGGATGCAAAAATACAGTGTGTCCCACTTACCATGCTCACCATGGGTATCTTTTTAACGGTGAGAGATACGAGGTCGGTTGAACGACACCAAATGTGGAGTTTGTCAAGGCCAACTATAATGTGAAAAAATAATTTGATAAAATCTATTCGTTTTTGTTTTATACGCAAAAAACAGATTTTGATCATTTTCATGTCTCCTCCGTAACTTTTTTATTTATGAAAATATTCAGATAGGAATTTCACATTCTCATGGCAGTTTTTCAAAGTGATTTCGAAAAAAATATGAAATTCATACCAACTCTTCTAGAATTTGAGATATCAGCACCAACTTTAGTTTTTCAAATGTAGGTTATAGCTCACTATGACTTAGTTACAAATAACTTTTTTTTCTCTTACAGATGATGTGGCGCAGTAATAGTTTTGTGTTGATAACAACGGAGTTATCGCCACTTACCAATTTTGAATGGAATCGGACCAAATCTTGTCCGCCATCTTGGAGCAGTCATTTTTTTCAATTTCAACAAAAATTCCATAATGTATTGTCACCGAAATTATGAACACCTGCCAAATTTCAAGTTAATCGGAGTTATGGAATTTTTGTTGAAATTAAAAGAAATGGCTGCTCCAAGATGGCGGACAAGATTTGGTCCGATTCCATTCAAAATTGGTAAGTGGGGGTTTTTGAGGTCGGAGATCATGATTTTATGGTTAAAATTCATAAATTCAAGATGGCGGCTTCCAAATAATTTTTTGTTTTGGATAAATGACGATAACTCCGTTGTTATCAACACAAAACTATTACTGCAACATATCATCTGTGAGTGAAAAAAAAGTTATTTATACCTAAGTCATAGTGAGCCATGACCTACATTTGAAAAACTAAAGTTGTTGCTGATCTATCAAATTCTAGAAGAGTTGGTATAAATTTCATATCTTTTTCGAAATCACTTTGAAAAACTGCCATGAGAATGTGAAATTCCTATCTGAATATTTTCATAAATAAAGAAGTTACGGAGGAGACATGAAAATGATCAAAATCTGTTTTTTGCCTATAAAACAAAAACGAATAGATTTTATCGAAATATTTTTTCACATTATAGTTGGCCTTGACAAACTCCACATTTGGTGTCATTTAACCGACCTCGTATCTCTCACCTTTAAAAAGATACCCATGGTGAGCATGGTAAGTGGGACACACTGTATACACTCACCGGCAAAATAAACCGGCCACCAAAAAATTTGCCAAAATTGTTCACACTATAACTTTTTTAATCCTTGTCGGACTTTTTTGAAATTTGAATCAAATCGTAGATTGATGTTCCAGAATGTTAGCCTAAATATTATGATGACTTGATCATTATACAGGGAAACACCAAACAGTTACTCTTTCACCCTATACATCTCATCGCCCTGTGGCCAAATTGCGTGATTGAACATGGCTTCATCATGCTTCAGATTGAAGTGTGATCCCTTCTTAACAGAAAAGTTTTTGATTCACGTCAATAACTCATTTTTAAAAGAAGATACGACTGTTTTAAGGAAGTATGGTGTTTTTCAACTTTTTTTGCCAATAATCAGAACTTAGATGAACTTATTGATTTACAACTTCGAGGATTAATATCACATATTTCTACCTTACTTTCTTAGCACTTACCGGAAAATCAATTACAAAAAACAAACAAGAAGCAGACCTGTAGTCAATAACGAGTATGCTCTCCTCGATATTGAATTACAGCATTCAACCGCAGTGGCATCGAATTGATCAAATTAGTCAAGTAGCCTTCCCAGATAACACAGGATATCCTATGGATATCCTTCTCAAGTCCATTTCAGGTCGGGATATCCTGGGACATGAAATGGATATCCATAGGATATCCGTCAGAGGATATCGAATGGATATTCTGATGCGGATCACCTATGGACGTCCATAAGATGTTCGTTTAGCGAACTAAAATTGTTAATTGAGAATGGTTCAAAACAATACGAATCATCACAAATATCACATGCGAATCACATGTTTATTAGAAATTCAAAGGTAGTTTTCCATCATATAACTATTGTTATGTAGGTATAATATATGTTTATAGCCACAATTAAGATATCCGATGCAAATATGAATTCATATAAATAACAACACCACAGTTTGGAATTTTTCTCTGTTGTTCAATGTTTTCGTACAAAAATATACAATCACTCGAAAATAGCTCCCAAATATTTACTTTTTTGTGGTCTTCAGATGGACATCCATGAGATATTCATCCATGGATTTATAGCGGATATCCATCAGAAGATATCTTATATCTCATGGATATTTGTGAACAATATCTTATGGATATCCCTGAAAAATGTCTTATGGATATTTGTGAACAATATCTTATGGATATCCCTGAAAAATGTCTTATGGATGTCCCTGAAGGATATCCTATAGAAGTCCAACTCCTTCCACTCGGCACGTCCATTGGACGTCCATAAGATATACATCGGATATCACTGGATATTCTCTGGATATCCCAAATATCCTAAATGGACGTCCAATGGATGTCCATCGAATGTCCGTGTGTTGACTGGGTTGAAGCATTGCCTGAAATCCTCCTTGAAGGGCGAACCGTGGCTCTTGAAGAGTATCTGACAAGGCTGGTCTAAGGCGAATGAGCCTCTAGAGGTCATCCCTAAGATAGGTAGATAGGTTCTGAATTATTGGTATTGAAAATTAAAAAAATTCATACTTTCTCTCAAAAAGGAGATATTGACGTTATTCAAGAACCGTTGTATGAAGAAGGGAACAAAACAAAAGAGGATCACACTTCAATTTGAAACATGATGAAGCAGAAGGTTGGAGAACGATTCTGAATCATTGTACATAAAAATTTTAAAAATCATATAGAAGCGAGACACGCTCTATATTAGATAATAAGATGACTCACCCAGTTTTGACGAAATTTGTCCACAACCGTATCATCCGGAGTCGTGTCAATCGATCCGAAGTAGTTTTAACTAAATTATTGTTATTGGCAAACATGTAATTCAATTCAGATGCATGAGCAGCACCTATATAATCCAAAAGAAACAAGAAAATCAAGGTCACTAATAGAGCAGGTACAGTGGTGATCAAATTGAACGGAATTCCGTTTCATTTGACCATCACTGTACCTCTGGTTCCTTTATACGAAGATGAAATGGTGACTGATTGACAAACGAGATGAACTGAGTGTATATCAACTTCCATTTTTACCTACCTACGCCTACTTCATCTGAATTTTCTGCGGTGATATTGTCAATGTAAGAAAATTTATAATGGTACACTGGAACAAATCTGGACATCAAACGAGCTGCTTCATTTATTGGTCTGACAAATTGGTCATCTGTAAAGAACTGGAAACCATGTATACAGGGTAATTTTTTTTATTTCTCTAAATATATCTGGAGTCATACCTGTAAAAGATTATTATCGACAAGATGTCGATAATGAATTCTGGGACAGTATCTATCTCTAATTTGTGTTGCGATATAGCTTCTGATTGTGTCGTTGTTTAGATTTAAGTCAATTGGGACCAGTCTTCTGGGGTCCAATGCATAGGAAATCAAATACGGCTCAATTGCCTGGAGAGCTACAAAAAATCGAGAATTCTCACTGATAATACCACTAGAGCTTCAATTATTACCGAACAGTTTTTCGAGAGCACGATAATTGTCTGAATATTGGTTATTGTTCAAAACGTCATTCTTGACTCAGTTTAATCCACTAAATAGAACACAATCAAGTTATTTTAGTTACAGAAAATAAAAAATTAGTCGATAGTTGCTCAATTTCTCAGTTTATCATGAATTATTCTACTAAATGAGTTGGTAGGAATATATTCTCTGTCAAAAAACTCGAATTGCTCTTTATATAGTATCAATGGAATTTGCTTACGTAATATTATTAGGATAACAAATTCATTTAGCTGAACTTGGTAGAAATAAAGTTTATTACAAGGAACTCATCAGCTTAGACATATAGAATTGATTCGATATAATCTGAAAGTGAATGTAACTGTCATGTTAACTATAAACGTGAACAAATCGCCAGTGTAATTTCATGCTTCTTCCCCCAAGGAGAAGGAAAAACAAAATCCGGAAATTTGTTGTTGCTTTGTTAATGATACAAAATACAGGTTTTGATTTGGTCGAAAATGTTAGTTGTGATAGAACTTTCTATCATCATAACCGCATTTGCGAAAACAATAACCATCACGAACCTTTATCAAAATCCCCACTTTCTTGTGAGTTGAATCCAATAATCACAGGAACTCTTGTGAAGCGACCTTTTCTCAAATACTCATAATTCTCTCCAACCAGAAAGTCGCCATGTTGATCTGTTTCTTTGCATGGAGCATATATCAAACCATTCAGAGGATTCGTCGTGAAAGTTTTCTGAAAAATCATCTCTGCCATTTATTTCACAGCTTTAACATACAATTATTTTATAAGTTCATGGTTCACACGAAATGGGATATCCTGTAATGTTCAGAGAACATCGTGAGAACCAAGAAAAATATGATAGGAATGGGTGTACTTCTTGAATTTATGGAGGTTATATGCCTCGGGGAAGACCTCCCTTGGCAATGTGTTCCAGAGCCTCGCTGTTCGTTGGATGAACGAGTCTATGGAAAGAGATGTTCTGCAGGTCTCCAAAGTGACCACGAAGGGGTGCCAAGCCTCAACTCGACAGGTTAATCTCGCGGGGACTGCCAAGGGAGTAATAATTGTTGATATTTCAGAAGAGCATCGTCTATGAAAATATCTATAAAGTAGCGCCAGATCGCCAACTTTTCTACGGTGTTCCAGAGAAGTGAGCGAGTTTGTGAGCGAGGATTCACCCACGAGACGAATTGCCCTTTTTTGGACAGAATCCAACAGTTTCGGGGTATGTTTGGGTGATGCACTTCAAATAAGGGAACAGTATTCCAGGACAGATCGAATCTTAGCCTTATAGATCATAAGCAGCTGACTGGAAGTGAAATAGCACCTGGCCCGAAATAGAAAACCAAGTTTTGGGGATGCACTTTCAGCAATTGATCTCACGTGATTTTCCCAAGAAAGGTTATTGCTGATAGTACCAAGCATCGAAATGGATGTCTTCAAAGGTATGGTTACTCTTGACAAGCTTATGTTGGGCACAGTGAGATCGGTTTTTCAAGAGGAAAGGCATGCTTGTGTTTTGTTTGCATTGAAATCTACCATGTTATTGGATCCCCATTCGAGAATTGTTGCCAAGTCCATATTTATGTTGTCAACATTTCTCCCTCGTTCGTTTCTGATTTACCTGGCATTCTGTTTCACTGGACATGGTTCAGATAGATATATGGAACCACCTCATATCCTGGAATTTCTGAGGAATATAGGACTGGAGAAATTTCTATAGCTACGGATAACAATAGCTCATCGGGTATAGCAGAAGGAATATAAGGGGCTCAAAAAATTTTTTAGCTCGACGTGTATTCACCCCTTATAAATACAATACAGTCGGGGTATTTGAAACATTATGACGCAGTGATGTCGTCAGAAGATCACGTCAGCAGAAAATTCGCTAATGTGCTGAATGATTTCCTGTTGAATAAATCTTCCTTTACAAATACGCCAACATTCACTGCATTGCTATCAAGAAATATTCGTTGTTGTTGTTGTAGAATATATTATTTTTTCTGCAACCGACACAAAAGTCGTCCATTTTGATACCAAAATTAGCTCTTAAATTGACGTTTCTATTACTGACACAAAAATAGGTATGTTGCTAGGGAACATATTTGGTTCCTAGGAGCTAAAGTTGAATTTTAGTTCCTAGGAGCTTAAGTTGAACTTTAGCTCCTAGGAACTAAAAAGGATCTACTGGACGTTATCTAGAATAAACAACATTGTGACAGTTGATTATTTGGGTTGAGACGCATACCTGATTTGTTTCCGATTTCAGCAGATTTGGCATTTCATACCCATGGTGGAAATATAAATACACCTTATTATAGTTTAGTATTGGAATTATAAACGTCTCAGTTGAGTATTTTTGTGTTGATCAGGGAAGCCTTCAAGATTCAAATACTTGCTTGATCTATATTTCATTCGTTATTCTCGGGATGGATAACTTGTTTTTGAATAATCACGGCAAGCAATAGTTTTTTTGTCTCAAACAACGATATTGTTTAGCTTCATTTGATTATCAAGTCAAACACAGTGTAGTATGGAGAGGAATAAATAATCACTATTATCATTGTTGATATGCTCACTAACCTAACATTTTCCACGTCTTGTTCCTATAGCTGGCACTGGCGAGGTATTTGCCATTAGAGCACCTCCTGGTCCATACATAAATATGTCACTCTGTGGTTGTATTTATATTGAAACTACAATAATTCGAACATCCTAGAAAACCTAACCTGCTGTTAATGCAGGTAGAATAGTCTCACCACATGGATTATTTGTCAATATTTGTTGCATTGCATACATATGGCACGGCATTGGTGGTTACTTCACATGTTTATTTGAGTTAATTGTTTCGGTTGCAGAAAAAATAGCATGTTCCATTCGGATCAAAAGTGACTTTGTTCGCCTCGCAAATTTTGCTTTCGCTCGGCTTCGCTAAACGCTCCGCCTCGCAAATGCAAAATTCGCTTGTCAAACAAAGTGTCACTTTTGATCCTAATAAAACAATCTACTATTATTTTTTTCTTACCACGAGGTCAACTTGTAATGAACTGATCATCAGCTTCGACGTATTCACTCTCCTCAACCTTCTAACCAAGACTTTGGAATTTTTAGTGTTCACATTTAAAAGTTGTCCCAGGGAAAAAGCACAGTCTCTAGCTTGTCTACTTAACGCCCATTCGTTCAGAGAAGAGCCGCTTTCCATTATGGCTTTGTGAAACAGATCTACAATAATTATTGTACCAGAGTGATATACAGGGTAGTCCAACGAAAACAATTAACAACCCGATTTTAGGACTTTGACTTGACTGCTTTCTTCATCCTCGTAACTCCAACCCCCTGTCAGGAAGAAGCACAACCTGGTAGGGGATTGAAGTTACGGGGATGAAGAAAGCGTTTTTCCAGATTATCATTTTGAAGCCCTGAAATCGGGGTGTTAAGTTTTCGTCAGACCACCCTGTATAAACAAACACATACAGGGTGGTCTACTTCAGAATGCAATGGGAATTGAGAAAATCGCAAAAAACTATTTTGAAGCAAGATTTTTGACGTTTGAATTGCTGCCTCAGGCCTCAGGATAAAATTATACCTCATCAATATCCTAATTTTCGTGAGCTTATAGATAATTGGGAACAAAAATCTCCCAAAATGGCGCCCAGAATCCAGAAACGCAATGTGGCACAATTTTAAAATTGAAAATAAAAAAATCCCAGCCATTCAAAAATTAACTAGAGAGCTTCTATTCTACCCATTCTATGGACGTGTATTTTGTTGACCTACTTTCACTCGACGGAAACTGCATTAGAAAAGATATGGAGGCAGCCCCAGCACTTTCTCCAAAAATTGTCACATCACTTTTGTTTCCTCCAAAGTATTCAATGTTGTCTTGGACCCAACGCAGCGCTAGAAGCTGGTCCTTCAGACCCCAGTTACCAGAAGCAGCTTCATCAGACGTAGAAAGAAATCCTAGAAAAACATTAGTAGACTTGGAGAAGTACTATTTCGACACAACTTGGTGAAATTCACTGATATAACTATTACCTAGACCGCTTTTGTCAAATACCAACTAAGACAGCTCAGGTTGAGTGAATGATAACAAATGAAGACCACAGGGGAAAAAGTTGGAATGTCACATGACAATGGAGTGGAAATTGACTCGACACCGCCATCTGATAGCCTAACTACTATATTTCAGTATAAACAGAAGTCCACAGCAAAAAACGCGGAATGTCCACTTCAAAACTGTGAAAAAGGGGGAACGTCCAAGCTTAGCGCTTGCTTGAATACAGATTCCATTGTGATTTTAATAGGTTGTTTTCACACTGTCAAAAAGTCAAAGGTTAGGCAACAAATTCCGAAGCTTTGTCGTTCTATGTATACACGAGTTTTGTTCAAGAGTTGTTCGACATATTTCGTGGTTGATGACAAAAAGTTGTGCTGACTGGGCTTTTCGAGTACGCTTGAGTGATGGGAATAAAATAATGAGATTGCTACATGATGATTTCTACTCATATCGCGTGGAAATTATAGAAATTAATGATCAAATTATAGAGATTCTAGATGCTGATTTCATTTGTCACTGAACTGCCATTTGTAGTTTGTCTCGGTGATCATGTGATTTCCTGCCTCCACTTATGATTTGTTTAACAAGATGGAAGTCATTCTTCCATTGTGCCGTCAACTTGCGTATGGAAGTGCCCCAAATGTTAGGGGGCTCTAGTTTTTTTTTCATTATCCACCTCAATGCCTATGTGGGTTTTCATGGTTATCTTCCTAGAAAACAACTAACCATTCAACTTTCATGTTTTCTGATTATCGATACGGTTATTATAAAAATTGTTTCACCTTCATGTCAGCTTGATCTACTACCCTTGCATATTTTTATCAAGAGGACTGCAGCTCTCAGTGCATACAGACTGAGCTCCACCGAATTGACCAGACCAGGTGATGTCATTGGTCACATGGTCATTCTACAATAAGAAGTACAAATGGAATTTGCAACCAAACCATCGGACATAATGCCAGCCAGGCTCAGTTTCGAGCATACCTTTGAAGTGGTTATAAAAAGACGCCCTAGGTACGGTTCCGCTGAGCCTCAGCTGGACAGAGGGTCCCTTGTTTGGTACACCGATGGTTCGAAAATGGACTCCCCCACTATCTTCCGAGCTGAAATACATGCCATATCATCCTTTGCGCCCAAAGGTGCGTGAGCAAAGGTCTGAGGGGTGCCAACATATATATCTGCTCAGACAGCCAAGCCGCACTAAAAGCCCTAAAATCATTTGTTTTCACATCAAAGATCACATGAGACTGCTTTGAAACACTCATGCAACTGGGAAAGAACAAAGTCCCACTTATGTGGGTTCCAGGGCATGAAGGAATCAAAGGAAATGAGGCAGCTGATCGCCTTGCAAAAAAAGGTGCAGCATCTGCACTTTTTGGTCCTGAGTCTTTTTGTGGGATAAGCAAATGTGACCTGAAGGAAGAACTCAGGAAATGGGAAAAAAATAAGATAAGGGTAATCACAATAGATCTTCTAGGTCGCAGTGATCGAGAGGTCTCCCAGCCTATACGACCCATCTACAATCTACAATCTACATCTACAAGCTATTTATGGTAAGGATTCCTCGTGTTACTAAATTATTTTTTCTCATTGTAGGACTATGTGATTTCTTATTAGGCTGATGATGGACATACGTATGTCCGAAAACAAGTTCCCTTGATGTGATTATTCACAATGATCCCGTGAGTTTTCACAATAAATTGTCGTGGAAATGACTTTGTGTATTATTCAGTATTATTCATCTAGGAATATCATTCTTCCTGAAGCTGGAAAATCACCAACTTTGTTATTGTGACGTTCAAATAATAAACATGTTTTAAATGCTCTCATAAGGATGGTTCATCTTGTAAGTGTAAACTGTAAATAATCAAGGTTGAGAGAGTGATCTTCGATATTATGGCATTAGCGGTCTAGTTAGTAATTTATCTCTGTGATTTAGTTACCGAAGACTCCAGTTCTGTAATTGAAAGAAACGAATATGACATCTGCATCTAGAAAATAATCAGGACTATATCTTTGGTAAGTGGAAGACCCACGCATGAATATCCCTCCATAAATCCACACCATCACGGGTAATTTGGTGATAGTTGCCGAAGTATTATGTACAGGAAGCTACAAAAAAAATGTCATAGTTATCATACTTAGTTGTAAATTTTATAGGGTGATTCAGAATATAGAAAGTTTGTATTGATACACGTGATTGTTTTTCCTAAGGCTTTCTTGATGAATACCGTCAACCTGGGCCATTGTCGTTCTAGATTATAACCTAGTTAGGTATTTAGTAGGCAGGAGCTTTAATAGAAAACCAATACTAGATGAAATAATTAGGTATAATACAAATACGAATTCAAAGTTCAACACATTCACAAAGACGAAGTTATAAGTTAATGACAACTGTCAGAAAATAATTTTATGATAACGACATCACAATCTCATGAAAGAATCTTCTTCTTCATCGCCTTCGTATCAAATATCACGTCAATGATGGAAAGCACGTCTGTGGTTGAGTACATATTGGAAAAAAAATAGAAGAGAATATCAACCTAAAATGGTCTATTTTGACATAAACAAATGAGCTCTTTCCATATCCTCGTCCTCAGCGCCACTTGACAGACAGACATATTTCGATTCACTGTACAGACAATATTATACCTACCTCCTCGCACTAGGTCGCCTACTAGGTTTTTATTTTGATCGACAATGCCTGGGCTATATCGAACGATCTTTTAACCATATGCCTGTATTTCTATTGTTATACGAAATTAAAGCTAACCTACTGATCATATTAACAATAAAAAACTTTCAGAAGTAGGCACGTTTATAATTATTATTTTTTTAACGTCTTCCGATATAAATCGAGGTTTGGGGTAATATCAGACGCTTTGATTTTTACGCTGAAAAAGTACGTTTTGAGACTGGTATTTGTTATAGGCTTGATAAAATTCTTTCATCGGACGATTTCAAGCCGAAAAAAAAAATTACAATTGTCATACAGGGTGATGAAGGTAGTGAATGTGAAAGTACAATCGTTATAATACCATCACACGTTTTTATTCATAGAAAAAATGTAAGAACAACAGATAAAAAAGGAAAATGAACACCACATTTGATGGAGAACAGAAAAGAAATTGACTGAAAATATAAGTCCACTTTTGTCTTATTATGATATAATACGACATTACCCCTGAAAAACAATTTTTTTTATAATTTCGAATTTTCAGGTAAAGAAAAGACGCAAAATGAACTTTGAGCTCATGAAGGTCTTGGTAAGGCTGAAATCAAATATTAATCTGATTGTAGTATCTAAATAATACCGAAAAAATTCAAGGGATAACTCCTTGTGATATTTTAGGAAGTTTCGGAAGTGTCATTTTCCCGCAGTAGTGCGGGAAAAGTTTTCCCACACTAGTGCGGAAAAACATTTATATAATATTCTCGCAAAATATGAGTGGTGGGTGCAACAATATGGAAATTTAAAGTTTTTTTTGCGGTTTCTAGTAAGTTTGTACAAAATCATTCATGAAATTGCACTATTTATTGTGAAAATGAAGAAATATTGAAAAATAATAATTGATTGTTATATAAATCCCCCTATAGCCTTCAATTGATCTGATGTGGGAAACAATTGTTGTCATGTCAATCAAAACACGAATAAGTTAATGCAATTCTCAGAGTGACAGACAGAGCGTTACTGTCATTTTGGATCCAGTAGAATTGCGATGAAAAACTTCCAGCTACAAATGCGATACAGATGAGTTATTGTTAACGAAGTCCTAAGAAGGGTACACGGGATTTATTGAATGGTGCAATAGTTACAAAGTGGAAACACCAAATGAAGAAGACGTATTTTTGGCTCATTTCCTAGAAATGTCTGAAACCTAGAGGCCAAACACCATGCGGCATGCTGGCTTCCGCAATAAGCTTACCTACATAATGATTCAAACGGTACACACAATAGATATATATCACTAATTATCAGAAGATAGCGAATATATATTACTTTTGTTAGTTGTTCCTATTTGCAGGAATAATTGATCGAACAAATCAATCAATTTCACACGCTCGTAAAAACAATATTGTTCCTAACTCATGCGGAGAGAGTCTTTCCCGCACTCGACTGCTTGCCCGTGCGGGAGAGTATCACTTTCTGCACTTGTTAGGAAAATCACTATTTTGGTTTCGGAATGTAAAGTCAGCAGATTCCGTACTGTCACTTGAATTCGAATCATAGCAATTTGATATATAACCATACAATCCGATATTACACCTGCGATCTGATGTAACGTATAGCCTCGGTTGACGGTATCATGTTCTGCTGATTAAGAACTCACCTTGGGAGTATAGACATTGATGAAAAGACAATCTTCAGAGCCTTGTAGACTCGCTTGTACACAAATATTTCCATCAGATGTAGCGTCTAAAACACCAGACCAGTTTTTTGCAGGAACCGGAGCCTATTCCAAACAAAACATGCTATGCAATAATTCAAGTGAAGCATTCAAATTTGGTTTTCCAAGTCAATAGTAATCACCACAACCATACAACCAGACAAGCAGATCATTTTTCTGTCAAGAAAATTAAATCAGATATTGGTAAAAAATCCATCTATCACAATGGAATGATACAATACAATTCACTACCAAATAACTTGAAGCTGATTAATAGGATTGAGAAATTTAAAAGAGAATTCAAGAAACATCTGCTTCTGTAATATTGACATCTTATCTCATTTTTATAGTTTTCTTGTACAACTACTATAGTTTTCAATTGTGTACCTAACAGCCCAGTCAATTGAGGATCATTTTCATTTGAACTTGAAAAAAAAAAGATTCTTTTTGAGTGTGAGTCTTATTTTACTGTCTTCTTTATTTTATTTTTTTCAAATATATTTATGTATTCACTATGTTCCCTGCTATAAACAAATGTTGTTTCTTGGGAATAATGAAGTTGATTGATTGATTGATTGATTGATTGATTGAAGTATCGCCATATTATTTTCAACAAAATTTTGATGACTCACCCTGAATCGAAGATCTCCAATTGGTGGTTCGGCATATCTGATGGCTCGGAAACTGTAATATGGTTTGTGTTGGTCTACGGTTTCGGCTCTTGAACCTTTTATAGCTCCATTTTTTATGTTCAAGGTCACCTAATGTGGAAAATATCAATGTTTCATATCCTCGGTCCATTATTATCCATCAGTGCCTGGATGTCCATGGACATTCGTTGGATATTTATTATGAAGATGTACAATGAGACATCTTGATTTGAACATCCACTGAAGTTTTATTTTGTGTCCATTAGGCAGCGAAATGTTCATGAATATCCATCGGAAATCTACTTTGTAGACAAACGAGGGACATCTGAATTTGTACAACTATTTCTACGAATCTCGTCTTTATTGATTAGTGGTCCATAAAATGACGAAAACTATACCTTGGTAGTAAAATAGTACATTATACATCAAGGGACAGAAATGCAAGATTTTTTCCAAGGTGGAAAGGTTCAAGGTGATAGGTTCGCATCTCCACCGGAGCAAACTTTTTTTAATGTCATTCCTTCTTCTTCAATATACTAGGAATATTCTCAGAATATTCAAAACAGTCCATTCCGAATGTTCATAAAACATTACTAGAATATGTGTATAAATATTGTGAGAATATTCTGAGAATATTCAAATATTCTCGAAGAATATCTTATGAACGTTCTATGAATGACATATCTGGGATTATTCTTACCTCTTTAGAATGTGGTGTTAGTACAGAAAATAAGGGGATGATGTGTTGTGCCAAAAAATTCGTTATATTCACCATGCTATTATTTTAGAACTAAAACTTGTGGAAAATCAATGAACATACAATAAGAAGTATTGGACTGCTGAGAATCATACA